AAGAAAGACAGAAAGAGAGAGAGAGAGAGAGAGAGAGAGAGAGAGAGAGAGAGAGAGAAAGAGAGGGAGAGAGAAAGAGAGAAAGTAGTGACGACGTAATCGAAATTCTTTTTTCGTGGCAATTAACGAGGCGCGTTATCGCGAATTTACGGAAGCGAGTAACGCACGATCACGTAATAGCTATTTTTCACTCATGATAGCAAACGACGTGATGATGATAATCCATACTGTTTATTGAAATATCCGAAATTTCTCGAGAGATTTCGGAGAACAAGGTAGCGCGTAATCAATTGTTGCGCGTCGATTGCGAAAACTTCGCGAATGAATTGACTCGACAAAGCGATGTTACCTTCCGCGATGACGCCTGACGACTTGCTCCCAGGCAATCAGCATAATTCCCGTACGAGAGCAAAGGCGTGCATGCGTCGTCGCCCGACTATGCACTCTCATGCGCTTTTGTTTTCTTGTCGCGTGACTAATAACGAGCCGTTCTCCTCGAGTTCGTCCGCGACGGTTTGACCGGTAATTAGAGCGAGCGATACAGGCATTACGACTCTCATGGGCCCATCGCCGAGAAAATCGATGTCGCGCGTGAGTGTTAGCGCACGCAAGGTCGTAGAGAAATCGCGCGAATCGACAGTACGCAGCTTCCGACGTGTCTTATTGATTCATGTACGCGAAACGCAGCCAGTTTTTGAGTACCGTCGATGAGAAGAAAGAGATCGAACGAAGCGACGACGAATGTACTCGTTAAAAAGTAGAATTAAACGCGTTGACGCGTAATGATATTCTATGTCTACATTGTGAGAAAAAATATAACAATTTTGAAAATATTTATTTATCTATTTATTTATTCGGTAGATACCAACAACAACAATTAAGTATTAGTATTTATTTCAATTTGAATTCTCTTGTTTTTTTTTTTATTTAAATAAAACAAACAATTGTGCGTTCGTAAAAAGCCAAAGTTTAAAAAAATGTACCTTCTATCATTTGAAAGATATTTTATATAAGCAAATATGTTGTTAGTTATTATTCACTGAATAATTTTTTATTTCTTATATGTTTTTTCTCTCAATGTACGTGTAGACAATGTAAACTATGAGATGTCATCTATGTCAGACAACGAATAATCTGTCGTTGAAAAAATGCATAGCTTGTTCGAAAATTGATTAAGGAAATTTTATATTTGTATTTAGCCTCTAAAATCTTTCCTGATGTAAGTTTATCAACGTTGTATCTATAAATTGAAGAGATCACAGAATTTTCTAGTTAAATTCTTCTCTATAGCAAGTTAAGTCTATTAATCTATCATACAATGAAATGAAAATTTCACGCAATTTATCTCTGTCGAACACTACATTTGTATTTATAATAATATCCAAAACAAATATGGTAACTCTGTCTTATAATTTAATTACCTTCTTTTTTATATATTTTAATATAATTTGCAATATTATACGTAATTTACATTGTCTACATGAAAAACGACCTTGTATACATCACGTAAAAAATACGTGAACAATCTGCGTAGACGTAATCTTGAAATATATACGGCACAATCCTGTGAAAAACTTTATTTCCGACTGACCGAACATTGAACAATTTCTAATTAATTCTAGCTAATTACATGTAAAGAAAGAATTAACTACAGAAACCATATAGCTGTGGCAAGTGAGATGTGTTATTGAAATACAGACAAGCTCCAAAGTTATTTTTACACCGAGACTAAATTTTTATTAGCTACTTGAGCTTTGACAAAAAAATATTCGCTATTAGATAGAAAGTTTTCATTATTGTTATTTCGCATTTCTTTTTTGCACTTTATAAAAAAACAGAAAAAAAGGTTATAAAAAAACTGACGCTTCGCGTCACAAATCTACACCGAGATTTCCCGTTGGCTTTTGACACAAATTGACAATTAATATCCATTTTAGTGCAGAAAACCCGACGACTTTCGTACTTACATGATTACTCTGATTGATCCTTATCCCACAGAAGGACGATTTCACATCTGTCGGAAGCAAGGCAATTTCTCCTTTCCAATGACGTTTGTTTCAAATCGCTACGACGTCTACAAGTGGAGTTATTGACGATTGTATTGATCCGCGCTCTAAATCGTTCGGCGTTATCACTGCTGCGAGCCATCACGACGCGTCGCGAGAATGGAATGCGGAACGCGACTACTACTTCCGGAGTCACCTTGCGCTGTGAGTACGTGCCTGGCACGCAGTGGCACGGCTTGTCGCTCCCCCCCCCCCCCCCCCC